AGGCTCTGCTCGTTTCTGTGACCAGAAATTGCCATGATATGTCGGTTAGGGACTCCAGCATTTGACCAGAGGGTAATGGCAGTGGCACGGACTGAGTGGTTGGTATAYACTCTTGAAAGTTGGGCCGCTTGACTAATTTCTCTCATCATGTTGTCAAGTTTGTTTATGCCGAGCGGTTTGTTGTCGTACCAAACGTCGTTGGAAGGCGCCCAGTTTCGGCTGGGATATTGAAAAARTGCTGAGCATTTTGGGTTTAGCTTGGATAGATAGAGCTTTACTGCTTTATAACCATCGTTAGGACTTTCTGTCTCATACAGTCTTGCGTATTTTTCCGAGCTTCTGGTATCTTTAAGGCCGCCTGGGTGGTTTTTAGACACTTCATCGTGAACCATCGTTACATAATTTCTCCCACTCGCATCGACTTCAAGTTTGAAGCTGGATTTCTGCAGTTCTCGCTGACCTTCACGAACTCGTCTGCAGAAGAAGAGAACGATATTAAACCAAACATTTCGCAGAAGGGACAAAGGGCCACTTAGAGAGAGTGAATCTGATGTTTTCAACTTCTCAAGGTCTTCATCTTCAATCGTCGGCTTGTGTTTACTGTTTTCCTTGCCTAACCTCTTGAGTTGAACAAGCTGTGCGTCCAGCATAGAGTTTGATCTTGAAAACCTTGGGTCTGTTGACATCTTAAGATTTCTCGAGAACTGTGGCTGATTTATAGGTATCTTTTCGATGCCGTGGCGGATACCTAGGAGGGTCTTCTTGCCGTACGTCTCGCCATCCTTTTTTCTTGCCTCTGCATAAAATCTTCTCAGATTTGCATCAAGTTGTCCAATCGTCATGTTTTCAAGCTCTATCTGAATCTTTTTCTCTTTGTACCATGCTGTAAATTACAAGAAAAGGAGGTAAAAATATGATATTTAAACTTAGTCAATTTATTGACAAAATACTTTTGTTTTTGCTCATTGTTTATCGTCCGGATAGTCAGGTGATTTCAATATTATTGTGTACGTATTAAAGTTTATCTATCAACTTTAAGTAGAAAAAATACCTGTCTAAAATCTGAAAAACTTACCTTTAAATGTAGAAACACACCAGTTAGTGTTCGTCTTTGTCTTTTTGGATGTCTTATCTGCAATGATTTTGTCCAAATCCCGCTCATTTAAGTTGGCGAAGCGAGTCTTGGTTCCGGTATTGTTTTCATCCTCTTTCTCGGCAATAATCATTCCGTCTTGCCTCGCAGAATTAGCTTCAAAATTTAGAAGGTTAAACTCAAAGTTCGGGCTATTACTAGCCATTTTTTAAAACGAAGTTTAACCGCTGTTCTTAAGAAAAATAGGAAAAAGTTTTAAGTTATATTTTGTTCCCTGCGGTGATGACGTGAGCATGAACCATCTCTATGATCCATCCATTTCTTTTTCATAGAAAACTAGCCAATCAGAGCGCGCGTTATATAGTATCTATGTTATAATTTTTGATTGTGTGCGTGTGTGTTTCATCAATATATATTTATGAATTAATAAATTACAATACAAATGCATAATAAGTTTTATCATGCAAGGGGGTGAGCAGCTCGTAGACCACTCGACCTCGTGATCTATAATTTTTAGTTTTAAAACTATACAACAAAGAAGACAACAACATATAGAAAAGGGGAAGAGGATTATGGTTGAAAAAGGCTCGAGAAATAACAGATGTAATGACGACCTTACAATGACTCTATGTTATCATCTTTGTGTAGAAATGCCATGGGACGTACCCACTTCTAAGGATACTTATCAAATTCATTAATAATTCATAAGGTAAGCACAATGTCACAATGGAAAATCATTGTCGCGACCACATCTTTATATGAGCAAGAGATTTGTCCTGATTTCCATACGATTTTAACTTCGATTTTCTCTTACAAATAATATTTTATTCTGGATTTTTATTCGAAATATGCTTTACCTTATGTTGGAATTTGATTAAGCAATATAAAATATTCGCGTCCGACCTTTAAGCGTGGATTTCACTAGCGCATAAGCATAGCATAAGCACAAGCATGAGAATCATATGCGTCAGTGAGAACGGGCTCGACATAAGCATAAGACATTGAGCATGCGCATGAGAGTTTTATTTCGGTACCAGGCTATGCTTATGCCTATGCAGTCCCGTTATCACTGAACATAAGCATGAGATAAGCATGAGATAAGCACAACAAGATCAAGCCTTGTTCGTTTTTCTTGTGCTCATGCTTATGCTTATTTTGAGCCCGTTCTCACTGGCGCATACGACTCTCGTGCTTCGTTGTTATGCCTATGCTTATGAGCTAGTGAAATCCACGCTTTATGAGCTATAAAACTGCTCGTTTGCAGCTCACAGTTTAAAATGCCCATAAAGGTCTCCCGCTCATATTATATATCACTTAATGTCATGTAATATTTCCCTTATGGGTTTTGA